ACATGAAGAACCTTCTCTGGGCTTCTTAGTTTTAATATTCCCCATTGAAAAGTGTTTTTGATTTAGTGGACAAATCCAACTAAAGCCAGATGTTTGAATGGGTCATAATGGATGTTGTGATTATTAACTTTCTAAATTTGATCTCTGCTCAATTTTCGGTTTACAAATTCAACCTGTGAGCTCACAATTAAATTCCTGAAATAGCCTGTTTAAAAAAATGTGTGGAAAGTATTACAACGTTTTTGTTTAAGTCCAATCTTTCATGTAGAGGTTTTTGTAAACTTTATCTTATTTGTTTTTGGGACACAAGTGTATTTTATTTTTCATTTTTATTTACCCGTATTCATAAAGTGCATATGGAACTAGAGACTCCAGGCATTTTATGAAACTGTCAAACTAGAAGTGACGGTGGAGGGTGGAAGGAGTTGGTGGAGGAGTTTCTGACGTGACTGTCAATCAGGAGGTCTGAGTTTTGACACTTCTTTTGTGATTTCTTTGCGAAAATATATAAATTCATGTCTGTCATCCAGTCTTTTCAGTTTCATGATTATTTCGTGATTTGCTATGAGGCTGAGTTACATCATACAGATTGTGTGCAAAGTCTTTATTAATGTTAAACATGAAACAGGTAAAATATGTACTGTATGTCCATACTGTACATGTATATATGAAATTTGGGATATACTTTCATGACAGATGGGCATATGACAGATATTTGGTGGCATTTGGTGCTTTTCCTGCTCAGCCCAAAACAGTTTAGGGTGTCTTCCATTACAAACTATGGCTGAACAGGTGGTCAATTATACACAACATAAGCAGAAGACAATGATGAAGAGCAACATGGCAACTATACACCGTCTGAACCAGAACCGAATAGAAAAGTCTGAACCGACTTCCTGGCTAATCGCCTTTTACCCTACTCAGGCCTGGCCGAATAGGGGCTAAAGTTGTGAGTGTTTAGTGGGGTCAGCCCCTGGTGGAATAGTAAAAATAGAGCTGTGCCGTGCAGCACTGAAGTAGGCACGCCATAATTGTTCAGAAGGCAACGTACAATTCGGTCTCGTGTGGTAGAGAGGAAACATCAGCTGATATCACGCGGGTGGTAAATCCGCGTATTCAATTAAATTAAATTCAATTTTATTTATATAGCGCCACATCAAAACAACAGTTGTCTCACAGCGCTTTCCAAACAGAGCAGGTCAGACCCTACTCTGAAGTTAATTACAGAAACCCAACAATTCCCACCATGAGCAAGCACTAGGCGACACAGGCAAGGAAAAACTTCATTTTAACAGGCAGAAACCTCGAGCAGAACCATGGCTCAGGGTGGGCGGCCATCTGCCTCGGCCGTAGGTATCAAATGCAGCTCTGAAACAGTTAACAAGGAAGAATGATAAACGATAACCAGCAGACATAAGAATGCATGCTGGGTGAAAATTAAACAGGACGCCGGTGTAAGTACATCTTTGCCCTCAATGCCAGTCATTCTCTGTGGCATGTGTTTGCACTGGGGGGTTCGCATTGTGTTGCCTTGTTGTTCTGCCCATCCGAGGAATGCAGACAGATAGTGAGCTAGCAACCACCACTGTTTTTATCTCTAGCTTCTATCCCTGGGGTGATGCTCACACAACAACAACACACACGCACAAACAGTGGGCGGTAGGGGATTTATGGGGCCATTTATCGTGCCAGTCAGTCAGTCAGTCGGCCGTCTGTCCAGTGTTCGTCTATTCTCGTCAAGCAGCTGCGTCAGACTGGATTAAACCTCTTCCTGGATCTTCCCACAAACACATCTCACTTAATAAGAGCCGATGCGATTTTAAGTGGAAATTGCAGTCCTGCAGCTGGAAACGATTCACGGGAAATTGTCAATTTTTTGCTTCCCCGGGGGGACAGGGGTCTGGTTCGTGACTTTTACGTGTCATCCTACCGCTCTCCTTTCGTTGTTTCCTCCCTCTGAGGACGATCTCGCGTAGACAGACGGCCATAACGGTCCCAAAATAGTCTCAGGCTGATGCGGCATGCCGTGGCAGGTTTGACAATTCGGAAGACGTAGGTGGAAGTATGCTTGAATGGAAAATGTCACAGAGAAACGTCTTTGTCACCCACCTACCTGAATGCCCCCGGACGCAAGCAAGCACTTGAAATTTTGTGTTTTTAAAATAACAGTGCTGCATCAACATGGACCGAAACTTTGTGACAATCTACTTTCGTACATAATGCACCCAGAGAATGTATTTCCCGGTGTATGTTCTGTCCATAGCTGGGAGTCTGAGCATAGACTCAAATCATTTTTCATACGTGTGATTGACACTAAATTCAGGTGGAAAGGGGTTACTTTTAAAACGAGCATTGTAGTCAAGAATGTCAACCATGAGTCTCATAATGAGGTCAGACCTCAAGAGGTGGGGGTCTGGAAGCCAAACTAAAGACTAGGTTTTTTGGTCTCCCCTCTCATCAGGACAATTATAGTGAAGCCTATAAACCTCAGGACATAAGATATTATGATCTGCACACAATGGTTTGTGTTTGTGAGCCTCTTTGTTTGTGTGTGTGTATGTGTGTGTGTTTGTGATGTTTTCCCTGCTGGATATTGGTTACAGTGGCAGATATGACACAAATACATGTCTCTGCCTCGACTGTAAAAAAAAAGAAAAAAAGAAGGTGCTGTGTTTTTTATTGTGAACTGTTCTTCGGTGTGAATTACTCTTTTAATTTTTTCTTGTGTGTCAGGGGAGTAATTTCCACTGGGAATTGGAAATAAACTGATGTCATTCTGATGAGTGTTCTGTAAAAAACATATATTTTTAAGCGCTCCAAACTAAAATTCCAACTTAATTCACCCATCAGTCATGGTTCAGACATTGATAAAAAACGATAAAGTGATTTCAAATCCAGACAGACAAAGACACTGGCATGGACTTTCCTTTCCATCACCAGGATAAGGAGATTAGCTCTCACTGTTGTACTTTTACCTTCAGCAATGCATGAGCATGATTTGTATCATTGCACTCCAAAGAAACTTACATATAAGCAGGTACTTTCAATGAGAAAAGGCTACTGGGACACAATCAAGCAGTGAAAAAAATGGACTGTCTATAAAAGATGAATGTTACATAGAGACATAGAGACTCTTGACAATTGAGGTCTGTGAGACAATTTAGGCACCATCCTTGGCTGTCATGAAACCCACAGCTATGAAATAAAACCATTAACCAGAACTTTTAGGTTTTCAACAGTGACCTTTGATTGAGCCCCAAGAAGTGAATGGGAGTGTGTGTGTGTGTGTTTGTTTGTCTGTGTGTGGCCCTGTGATGGACTGTTGACCTGTCCAAGGTGTGCCCTCCCTTTAGCCCAATGTCAGCTGGGATAGGCTTCAGCCCCATTAGAAAATAGTGGAATGGATGGACAAATGAGTGTAAATTTGATTTGTTATAGTTCAATCTTTATTCTTCTTTGGTCTGAACATAAAAAACTTATTCACTATATTCTTGTTACTGAAAAAATTGTTTTGTTTTTTAGATGTTCTAGCAAAACAAAAATAACCAAATAATAAACTAATTTTGTCAATCTACAAGCTCAAATAGGTTTTAAATTGGTTTTAAATAACATATATGTAGTAATTTCTGCAAATTGTTAAGTGTAACAGTTTGCGGGATAAGGGCTCTTAACAAGATGTTTTGGGAAATCCTAAAGAGAAACAAATAAATTAAACTCCCAGCTGTGATACTCATGTTCAAGATCCCGAATACAGGTCACATGCTCATATATACATCCATACATACATAAACCTATTCTGTGCTTATAGCATTAAATTGAACCGCTTCAGATTTCATTTCTGTTTTTATTCACCATTTAGGTGAAAAAAAGTCTAAATGTGAAATATTTTATGAATAAATATTGGGAAAAAGTTCACTTTTTCTAAATATGACATCTCATTCCAACCAACAAATGACTACTGAGCAGTCCACTCATTGGAGCTTCAGGTCACTGACAAATTAGCTTCGACATAGTGTTTTGACCACTTAATCGACCATAGTTCTCTATACACAGAATGCACCGCAATATATAAGGGCTAGTCATTAGTTCAGAGGGGAACAGAATAAGAAGATAGCCTTTGGTTGTAGTCGCTGGTGTTGTGATTGCAACTTTCACCACACACACTTTCAGTCTTTATTGAATGAGCCAAGCAAACATTTTAGTCAATTAGCTTTAGGTTTTACAGCGAGCCTTAAAACTGTCTCATCTTCAGGGTGCATGCACTTTTTGCTGGATAGCTTTCAGCTGCCTGCTGTTGAGGAATTGGGTTTTCTCTTCTTTTTTTTATGCATCACTCTCTCTCAGAGCCCTCCAAATGCCACAATTTAATTTGAGCAATCAGTGAATTGACCGAGTTGAAACTGGATGCTCTTTGGAATTGCAGCCCAACCCTGCCGATTGAGGGAAGTAACCAAAGATACATTTGATTTTTAATCTAGTCTGGTATCAGGATCCATTAGTTTCATATTGTATTGTTGTGTTTTCAGTTTTCTAGGTTGGAGATTTCATTCCAATGATAGCATTTTCGTCCATAGAATTTTGTATTTAGTCTAGGCTTTCTGACTTAAACAGAAGCAGTCACCTACTCAGCATGGGAGAGAGATTAGTGTAGAGCATGTCCAGATTCCTCAGAAAACCCAAACTACCAACAAGGATCCGGTCAACACCTGCTAGTCACCTTCTTTTGTGGCTCAGATCTGGCCCAATAATAAAAAAGTCTTGGAAAGTCATTACTCGCATGTTATGACCACACATGCAGCCCTTTTGGTGTTTGTCCGTTGTGTCCCCCCGCATCTGTTCCTCACAGCCGGATTTAACAGAATTTTCCCCACATCTTCTTTCTTAGAGTTATGGCAACATCTGAGACGGTCAGCAGCTTCGGGTCCCAGATGCAAAGAGTTTCTCTGTCATGTTGTCCACGTTGTGCAGCTACCGTGCACTTTACAGCTGCCGTTATTCCCTTTGAAAGACCACACGTCAAATGCTTTAGTTCCTCCGACGGATAGATCTGTTCACCATAAAATATATGTGTCAAAAATGAAGCTGCCAAACTCGTATCAAGCAGAAATGGAGGACGGGGAAAACCAGGGCAGTTGTGATTTTATCCACCAAAGCTCTTACTGTAAGTTGTTTTGTTTATTTTCTAACTTTATTTGCTGACTTTTGGTGGATAGACTGAAGCAAAGATGCAGGGTGCAAGTCTATGGTTCCTCACAGGGCCACACATCAAGGAACAACCACACACATACACACACACTCCTGGGGTCAATTTAGAGGGTTCAGTTAACCTAACATGAATGAGTCTTCTTATTGTGAGGCACTGGTGCTAGCCACCACAACACCATGCCTCCCAACTCTATACATGTTCAAAATAAAACCAAAGCACCCGCGAATGAGAAGGGAAGAGTTAAATATTAGTGGGAAAAGTGGTGTGAGATGAGTCACAAACTGCGCTTTGTTGGTGGAATGTTTGTGATGGATTAAGGGTGTCAAATGTCTGCAAAATTATACAGCAAGATGTGCAAGGTTTGAAGCTGTGGATTAACTTACATAGACTGTAGTTTCACGCATCTTTTTCTTTGTAAAACCTGGGATTTGCGCATGTTGGTTTGTTTGTGAGTTCGGTTCGAATATGCATGAATTTTTCAATTCAAACAGTTCCATAAAGAGAAGAACACCACTTTACACTGGTTGGTTACATATGAATATCCTTTAACTTAGATACTTTGTTGTTCTTTTTTATAGAATGAGAATGTCACTATCGTAAGAATGAAATGCATAAATAGCTCTTTGGTATTTAAAATCAGCTTGAACCAAGTCACTGGCATGGCTCATAATAGTGTAAATTATTAACTAACTTAAAAAAACAACTATTGGCTACAGGTTGGTCTCTTTTTGTTTATGCCTGTGGTAAATCAGTGAGAGATTTTTGCTCTGTGTATGTCCCCCTGTGTATATCTGTTACTGATTGTTGAAGGTTCTACTGTTAATATTGTACATTAACTTTTCAAAATGTGCTTAATGATTACACCAGCTTATTGATGGAGTTCTACAGATCTCAGCTTTGTCATTTTGTTCGACCCTTTTTTTTATTCAGTCCAATTATTTTTGGAAAAAAAACATCAATAGTAAATCAATGAGAACCAAGTTTATGAAGTAGCTGTTGAACATCTGTCTCAGCCTCTGTACCTCTCACCTCCTCACCATTATCTGTTCCACCATGTTCCACACTGTTTGTGTAATAACATGCCAAGCACGCACAAATGAAGTGTGAGGAGATCAGACGTATGTTCTTGACCTCTTGCTCACTCTATATTGACACCACTTCATGCCTCACAGATGAAAGCAGATATAGATTAGAAAGCGAACATAAGATAGTGTTTGTTTTGTGGAAATATGTGGAGAAGACCTGCCATTTTGAAATGAAATATTCAGAGACAAACTGGTCAAAGATAGCTAGGAGTGTTGTTCAAAACGTTTGGAGTAATTTGCAGGTCAGATGCAAAATGGACTTACATGAATTAAAAATACTTTGTTGTTGATTTATTTATTTTTTAAATACTAGTGCAGAAACTCAATGAGGTTGGCTTTTAGCCCTAGATGATAAAATGTTCTTGTGCCTCTGATAAATACTCTGAAAAGTGAGAGTAAACTATTATTCGTGGGAATACACAATTTGATTGGATGATAGGTAAAAATTGGGCTCTCTGGTTATGAGAAGTAGTTACAATACCTAACTCCACATTTAAAGTGTAATGCAAGCCAGTGCCTTGCTTTTTTCCTGTCTGTTATGAACAATTCTCCTGTTCTGCGCCCTAACTGTAACCAGACAGAGTGCCACATATATAGTTAGTTGTGATGATCCCAAAGGAAACACTTGTGGGCTCACATCGCCCAATCGCACCAACCAGGAAATGAGTCAGACACAGACACTAGTTACCAGGCTCAC